ATCGTATTATAACATCGACAGAGACAAATAATAAAATAGAACATTAAAATTGAGATGTGTCTCCCTGCATTGCACAAGTACTCTTCTAGTTGAACTTAATGGCTTCAGCAGGGGATTAAACCTAGTGGCTTGAGCCTATGCGAAGGTTTTGATTGGAGAACCCCTTGAAAGCGATTGCACCTTGCGTTCGTTTAAGAATTTTGTTTACGTGGAACAAACATAAACATACATGAACATAAAAACTTTTGTTCATTTGTTGTTCGTGTTTGTTCGGTTGAGTTAAAGGAACAAACATAAACAAGTCTTTGTTCGATTAGTTTGTAGCCCTACTTGTATATCGTGGTCCCTGGATTTGGATTTGGATTTGGATTCGGGTTCCTCTGTTTCTCACTTTTTTGTTCGACAACGACAACCCCAGATGTAATTTCTTTCAATTGGATCAAACGACACTCGATTGGACATTTAATCACTCTTGGATTGGCCATTTGGATTTCTTGTTTGTCGACTTCGTTCGTAACAAATCAATTACGGTCTAGGAACAGAGTTAGAAACCATGATTCCGGATGTCAAAAACGTAAAAAGAAAAAAAATTGAAGATATAACATATGGCATTAACGTTTATACTTTGTTTCTATTTATCACTTGCCTAGCCGTTTTATAGTTTTGATATAGATGTAACAGGACCTCCAAAAAGATCGAACAGCTGACACATCCCCATAAGAAACAAAAACGACGCCAAAATCTATTTCCGCCTCTTCTATATTTCAATTTCCCCTCGATAACTATCTACTTGGCCCTCAACGAAGCTAGGTTTCATCGATGCGATGGAGTTTGATAGGCAACCCTTGTTTGGGCACCGGGAAGGGGCCGTACTGTATCCCATCGTCTTCTCCGACCACATCCCACCTGCGAAAATGATTTACGGTTTGTAAGTTCATAAAGATCTTACCATGTTAAGATTACAAATAAGTGATCAGTATAAGCTTAACTAAAACCAAGAAGAAGGCTCAAGTAGGCTTGCCTGAAGGAGGTGGTGAGGTGGTGGAGGAGGATGAGCATCTCCACCTTCGCAAGCTCGCTGCCCGGGCACGAGTGAGCTCCGTTCCCGAATGGCATGTACGTGTTTGCACGAGGTGCGACCTGCATCATCCCCACTCATATCAACATCGATTGAACCAAATAATTTGAGAAAATGAATTAGTTCAAGCTTAATGCTCGATAAAAGGATTGATTAGGTTATAATGACCTCGAATCTTGAAGGGTCAAACTTGTCGGGGTCCGGGAAGAAGTCCGAGCAGTAATGGATGGTTCTAAAGAGAGGAAGAACCTTCCAACCGCGCGGGATCAGATACCCTTCAATTTCCACGTCTTCAACGGCTTCTCGAAATGTAAATGAGAGTATGCTTGCAGCCCTCAGTGTCTCTTGTAAGACTCGGTGACTTAACGGCATGTGTCGAGTATCGTCCCACGTAATTCCGCGGTTGGTTTCGAGTCTCCTACACTTGATATCTTCTTGTTCCATCTATGACCATCATACATATATAGAGTAATTAAACTCATCCTCATCAACATAGATCTTCAAGTTAAATTACCATCTAAAAACGATATATCCGTCGATTTTACTTTCGACAGATCAATAGGTCGGTTTATTTTCGGCATGCTATTTCTCGCTTGATAACGATTCTGAATCGTTAAAACCCGAGAAACAGTCCATCCGTTTCATTCATCTAGTGTTTGCTAACGGATGTTTCGTTTTGTTGGTTTATTTTTCGGAATGGAGTACGGTTTTTGAGCGGAAATCCATTGATTACGTCTATTTTTCGATCGAGATTTAATGACATACCTTAACAGCATCTAAGAGATGAGGATGATCATGCAAGTACTTGAGCAGCCATGTTAGAACACTTGCAGTTGTATCATGAGCTGCGAATATGACTCCAATTATATTATCTGCTATCTGTGAATCATTCAATTGCTCGTTTCCCTTTAATCCCAGTAGAACTCCAAGCAATCCTCCACCGTGATCGCCATTCTCCCTTCTTTTCTGTATCATCTTCCTCAATCTTTCATTCAGAAGCTTCCTCGCCTGTAATTTCATGGTGTTAACGAACACAACTCACATTTTCGTTCAACAAGAAGATCCTAGAAAACCCCTAATTTTAAATAAATAATATAACCAAAACGTTAACTGATTCTATTTATATACATACATATATATATATATATAAATATACAAGAGTTGGGTTCCAGTGAGAAGGAGAGTTAAGTTAAGATGATAAGCGTAAAAAAAAGATCTCCAGCCTTAGATACACATGAGATGCATGCACCGAGATGTACCGAATCAATCTCATATCAAGAGCGATTCATGAGTGAGTTTAATATTAGAGGTGATCAAGGTTCCAAATCCCTTCTTACACTTTTTATCTTAACTCTTCTTCTCACACGATCATTCGCCTTTCGCCTATATATATATATATATATATATATTTATGGTTGGGTTTCTGATGAGAATTAAAGTTATGGTGCGAAAGTTGAGAATGGATCTCCACCCTTGGATCAATCCTAATTTAAGATCAACATGGGTCGTGTGCACCGAGATGTACCGGATCAATTCCCATGAGAATCGAAATTCATACGGTTGGGATGAAATTAAAAGTGATCAATGGTCCAGATCCCTCTCTCTATGCTTCTAACCTTAACTCCTATTTTCACATGAATCTTCGTTTATATGTATATATGCGAATATGTTTATTTTTATAACAAAATAGTTGCGAACTAACAATTACACTTGTTAAAGTAGAAGGATAAGTACTAGAGTCGTCATTTGAATACAACAAATTAATGACATATATTGTGATCCCACAATCGTCCCTAATTATGGGGAATGAAAATTACAAGTTAATAAATTAGGAAATTCACTTAAATGATTATATTCCACAATCAATTTAACTTGTTAATCATTTTTAGCGAACTTTACCTAAAAGTCACTAGGTACGCAATACCCCAGTAAACGACAAAAAAAAAACAGTCTGTGGGACAAGTCCATAACCATTGATCTGCAATTATTATGGATTCGATCCAAAACCCATTTTTCTATGAAACCCCCAAAGTGGACATTTACGGATCTGAAATTACGAATTCAAGGAAAATGGGTTTTGGGTCGGATCTGTAATAATTACGGACCTATGGTTATTGATCTGGGTGAAAAAACTCTAGAATGTTCAAAGAAAAATGATAAGGAAGTCAATTTGTAGAATATGGCCATTTGGGTCAATTTTCCCGTAAGTGTAACAAAAAATTAATGTGTATTTAATATAAAGTGTTCTAATAACGAAATTAAATAAGTTATATCTATATGAAACAAATAGAAGTTCTTTTTAAGTACATTGTAATATGACTAAACAAGTAAATTATTCTGTTAAGTTTTTCAATAAAAAATATTTAATTAACCTTTTCATGTAATAGTTCTTAAAACATTGTCATATGTAGCTAATGCCATCTCATGTTCAAACATGTAACTTTAATAAGTTATATTAATGCATAGTTTATTTGTAATCTTGAATTTTAAGTAATATACATCAACAAACAGTACTTTATACATAAAAAATTGGTTTTAAGAGTTTTTATCAAAATACTTTATAATACTAGAAGGGAACTCGCGCAATGCAGCAAGATACATCTCGATTTTAATGTTCTATTTTATTCTTTGTCTCTGTCGATATTATAATACGATTTAAAATTTCTCATTTTTATGTAATTTTTTTATTATAATTTAATTTAAGTTTAATAATGAAATAATTTATTTTTGGTTTAATCATATAACATTTTATAAAGATAATAATTAAGTATTCTGTTAGAACTCAATGATTATCCTAATTTTATTTTAGATTTTTTATATTTAAAATGTGATGTTTATCCTTTATTTGATTATGTCTATATGCAGTTCGTTACACAAATTCATATATGAAGCTTTAATAAGTTGTACTTAAGCACAATCTACTTGTAATATTGAGTTGTAAGTAATATGTATTAATAAACAGTACTTTACGCATAAAAAGTAGTTTTTAAGAGTTTTTGTCAAATGTTTTATAACATAGTATAGATAGACACACAATATCAATATCAATATATATATATATATATATATATATTTTTTGAGAAGTAAATGAGTGTGAATACAATCATCAAATTCCATACATAAATTGGTTTTTTCGAATTTATAAACATTTATGATTAGAGTGTGAATATGTTATATTATATTTGCAACAACAAGTGTAGTTGAAGACAAAAATGAGAGATTGTTGTTGACATGCTGAAGCAGGTGGGGCCACCCTACCAAAACTAACCATTTAAGGAAATGATCGCATGATTCTATTCTATACCTATTCATATGTGCATTATATTTCTCACCTTCATCGCTTTGTTGAATGGAGTTCCAACAACATTCAAAGGCATCGAATTGTATCCTTTCTCTATACATCCATACAATTCCTTTAATCCCTCCACCTCCCCAACCTCCATCTTCTTCCCAAACACCGATATCATCGCCACTGCATACGAATACTGCCAAACAAACCATCATATAAGTCATCATGTAGATATAGATATAGATATAGATATAGATATAGATATGGATATAGATATACCTTCTTCATCTCATGCAAGGTGTTGATGGTTTTGGTTTTCTCCCAGATGGGAAGAAGATCAAGAACAATGGCTTCGATGTTGGAGATGAGAGGTTTAATGGCGGAAGGAAGAAAGGAAGATTGGATGAGCTTCTTGAGGTGGGAATGGTATTGACCTTGGTGAAAGAATAGTGCTTCTGGACCGATCATCATCTCTTTGCTTGTAGGGTATGTGGGTTTGAAGAGATCGGATTTAGTGACCAAGATGATCTTTGCTACTTCTGGGCTGGATATCATCACACATGGACATCCCAATATATGACTCTTGAACATCTTTCCATGCCTACCCAATTCACCAACAATTAAATATATATATATATATATATATAGAGATATATAGATATAGATATAGATATGTATATGTATATGTTATGTATTGATATAAGTTTGGAATTTAAGGCAGAGTTATAATGAACCTATTTTGACGTTCGGAGAAGAAAGTGTTGGGATTTTGTGTGTAGAGGTTAATGGTTTCACCGATATATGGCCAACCCATTGAACCAGGCGGCAGCCTTCGCTTCTCATTTTCCGGCAGGCTGCAGCGACGGCGGATGAGGCTATACACGATCAGAATTGTCAGCAAGAAGAGGAAAGATACCAAGGGAAGAAGAGGGAGATACGGTGGTGTTGGTGGAAAGAAAGACATCATCCGGCGGAGATACGGAGGAGTTAGGTGGTGATTGTGCGGTGGCCGGAAATTAAACGGCGATGGGTTGGAGATTTTCAGACGGGATTGAGAGATTGGTGGTGGGTTTATATCGGTGAAGTTATGGGTGGTGGGCCAGGCGGGTCAAGGACATGTGGCACTGTGGCAGTATTCGTATGCAGTGGTGGGTTTATATCGGTGAAATATTATTTTCGAAACAAATATAAATTTGAAGATAATATAAAATTGATATTATTATTAAATTAATTATTTAATAGTTTTTGTTTTTTTATATAATTTTTTTAATTTAATTTTTTTATAATTTAATTTAAATTTAATAATAA